CCCCTRACACCAGGACCRTCATTTTATGTGCCTTTGGTGCTCTTCTTTGGCTGGGCCCTCTTGTGAATTGTTTGGGTTTTGCAATTCTTTGTTTCCCCTCCAAACAGATGTTCAGCATTCTCTTATTTTTAGCAGCTCACTTTTTTTTTTTTTTCTGCTTTAAAAAATCCTACTTTCGCTGCTCTCCGTGTGCCCCTATATAGTCACAGWGCCTTGGTATAGAGGGGATGCTGTTACTATATTAGGACAGAGACATTTTTAGCCATGGACAAAGGCCCTTTGCATGAAAAAGGAAACAGCATGCTTTCAAATTATTATTTATGTATTTGTTTGTAATGACTTGATGGGGCTAAAAATTCCGAGTGTCTGTGTCAGCATCAGGCCAGGATGGATGGAGGGAAGGAAGGAARGAAAATTACACTCCCAGAGAGCTTTGGTGATCTTGGTAATTGATGGAGAAGCACTTTGGGAAACGGCTGTTCTTGTGGCTGAAGTCAAGGATGTGGTTCAGGCTTATCCTCTGTTTGGATGTGTGCTCCAAAGAAAGGAGCAGCCTGTCCCTGGACCTCACCAACTCTTAATCAGTGACACAATTTAATCTGCCTCCTACAATTCCAGTGTAATTACTGGGGGAAGAGGAGAGAAAATTTTGAAAGGAATGGCTGAGAGAGCTGTTTATATTTAGTTCAGGAAACCTGTAAGAAGCTTCTCAGCCACATCCTGTTTCCATCAGCATTTTCATCAACATTTGTCTCTGTGTCTCTGGAAGGAGAACTGGCAGKAGGGGAGGTTGTGTGTGGCTGCTACCCCAGGACATTTGTGTCCCTCTGGTGTGTCASAGGTGCCCTGTGGTGTGACAAGACCTTAAACTGCTCCTGCTTCTGAGCCATGAAGTCACTGGTTATTTAGTTCCTTTTCTGTTGGTGGTTTAGTGAGTGTGGGCAAGAGCAGGGGGAGTTGTGTGGTTACTGCCCTGCCCCTGAGCGTGGGGCTTTGCTGAGCAGAGGGATTGAACATTCATGTAATGAGTTCTGGGATTACTGTGTGTTTAACTTCCCAGCCTAGGCAGAGCTTTTAAAGTAAGGGAATGCTTTAGTCCCAGATTTTAGKTTTTTTTTCTAAAACACAAATCACGTAATCGAATGTTCATACTGAGGAGAAAGGGCTGTGTGATGACAGCAAAGCAGACATGAGTGATTTATTTATTATACTGATTTCTTATACAGTTGAATTCCTCTGGMACTTAATTTTATGGTCTATGAGAGCTGTCAGGACTTCGAAATATTACTGATTATGTGGTCAGCTGAGAAGTTAAGWGAAATAATATCTGTAGGAAGAAATRATTTGTGGGAGGTTGGAGAGGGATGGAATTCAGGAGGGGATGATGTGCTCCTTAGAGCTTCCTGTAGATCCAGAGAAAGTTCATCCTTTAAAGAGACTTCTTTAAAGCTTCATGGGCATTTCTGAAATTTGTCAGCTTATTTTTTAATAATTGTTTTGCAGCACTTCCAAGCCTGATTGCTGCCAAGAAGTTGATAACCACGTTTCTGAGGATGTACCTTTGGCYGTGGCCCCTGGTGATGGTGTAGAGCTGCCTGCTCCAGAAACCGAAGGTTTCACWAGGGAAAAAAAGAGGTACTGTGTGATTGCATTTGTTACGAGACTTTTCTGTGTCCTTGCATCTTTTGCTTAAGAAATGCTACCAGTGTGAAAGAGGCTGATTAACTTCTTTAACATGTATTTTGTGTAAGTTACATGAACGCTTAGCCGCTAGATTTTGAATCCAAGTGTTAGACTTACCAAGACCTGGCTAATCCTGGTTATTTACTCCAAAATACCAGAAGAGGGAGCTTGGGCTACRCTGGTTATTACTGTGCTGATCTTTCCTACTATTTGTAATTTTATTTTCTCTTCGTTTTTTGTTCTCCCAATATTTTTCTTTCTTGAAGTTTCTGTTTGGGGATTTTTGTGTGTGTGAAACTGTTAAAGATCAGGTGCTGTTTAAGAGGAATGTTCTGCTCATTCCCCTTCTGAGCTGCCATAAGCTTCCTCCCTCACACCTGATTTGCGTTGTCATTGTCAGCAGTGAAGGAAGTTGTTCAGCCTGGTTTCTCTCTTGCTGAATAAATGTTGCCTTGATTTCAAAGTGAAATGTTTCACTGCCTCAGGTTTTACACTGATTGTTGCCATGGTGTTTTAATAGGTGGCCCAGCACATTTTTTTTGCTTTGAAAACTCCCAAACTGAATTACAGACTCGTAGAATGATTTGGATTTTTAGAGACCTTAAAGATCATTTAGTTCCACCTCTACCATCTCAAATACAGCCGAGACAAGACGAGTGCTCAGATATTCCTGTCAGAGCTTCAGCTGACACCGTCTGTGGGTGATTTACCAGGCTGCTCTTGTGCCTCAGCAATCAAAGGCTGCCCTTATTGTGACATCTATTAATGGAAAAGGTCACAGCACAGCTGAGGATATGAAATGGGCACTCCCTGGAGGACAGCTTTCTCCACCCCACCGGTACAGACTGGCAGGTTGTGACAAGTGGGATACGAGACAGGGGACACCATGGGAAATAGTTGTGCCACTAAAGCTCTGTTCAGAAATGTCAAAAGATGCTGCTGCCAGCAGAGGATACTCTCAATGTACACAATAGACATGTTCTGCTGTGGAGCAATGCACAGAGAGCTATTAGCGAGTGCTGCTGAAGAAACTATGGGCTCTAATATCTAGGAATCATGTTGATTAATTATTTCTTCTGAACTCTGTTTTGATCAGAAAAATGGTGTCTCTACCTTTATTGTACATGCTGCTGTAGCACAGTCAGGCCAAGTCTTTGTGGTTTTCCTCTGTGGCACTGCTCTGGTTCCACATGTTTTAACCTGTGCACCACTGATGGRGAACAGAAGTGTTTTGCACCAGTATGCAACTTCTGTCATCTGGAGGAAATGTTCTGAATTGAAGGGCAGATACCATGGTTATCCTCTAAAAATGGAGAGAAATGGGCAGGTGAGATTTTAAGTTGGAAARTACTCACMCTGAGATGTTGGCTTTTTGCAGAGWATCATTCACAATTGTTTGAACTTTATGGATACCCCTGAATTTCGCATTCTGGGAGTGCTGTAGTGTAGTCACAGATGACTGTTATTTACAAATCCAAATTGGAACCACTAAAAAAAGGTGGGGATTTTCTTTTCCTTTTTGCTAGAATTCCGCTTCAAAGAGAGGAGCAATAATTTTACAACTCTGCAGGCAGGCAGAGCTGCTGTGCTCACATTTAGATTGGCTTGTGCCTCTGAAGTTTCTGTTTYGTGTTGATATTGATGTAGTGAGTTTCATAATGCAAATGTCTGTGTGTGCCTAAGAAACTCTTGGATGAGGTGAACAATGGTGTAATTAAGTAGAATCATAGAATCATAGAATCATTGGGATTGGAAGGGACCTTGAAGCTCATCCAGTCCCACCCCTGCCATGGACAGGGACACCTTCCACTGTCCCAGGCTGCTCCAAGCCATGTCCAACCTGGCCTTGGACAATGCCAGGGATGAGGAATCCACAACCTCTTTGTAGAATGTGTTGTGTTAGAAGAACTTCATGCAGAATCAAAATCCAGCTTAGGATGTGAATAATCCAAATGTGCACTCTCAGCATCCTCGTTACTCCCGGGGAACAGTGGTCCTATCACCCACAGCCTCTTTCTGCAAAGTTGAATTGTGTATTTGTATGGAAATTAAGATGCACAGAGGTGAAAATTAGAGTTGTCTGTGGGACTAAAGGTAATTTTTGCATCCTCTTGAAAAGCAAATCTGTTACTGTCCAAATAGCTGTTTGCTTGTAGTCAGCCCCTTATGTAAACACTTCTGAGATTACCTTGCATTTTTCTGTGATTCCTGTGTATCGAGTCAAATCAGCCATGGAAAATAATAGCTTGCAAATTGGGTTATGTTTCACTTTGTCACATTTATGGCAAGTGYCTGGCAAGGTGCTGAACTCGTGCCACTGCGTGATTTTCTGCAGAATGSATCCTTGAGGCATTTCAGTCTCCTCTGTGATTATGATGGTCACATTATGAACTCTGTCACAGACACTTCATAATTTGAAAGAAGCACTGAAATATTGCTAGAGAGCAGCTGATTCTTTATGGGAGCACTGTTGAGCTGATCCATCCCTTTGTCCTGCGAGGAAGAGAGATGGGTGTGATTTGTTCTGGAGAACTAAAACCTGTAAAGTCCTCACCTGCAGCCTCATTACCTGCTTTGGATAMCCCTGTGGTGTTCTGTGTGGCTGAGGGGAATGGAGAGGTGGGTCCTCCTTGCTCTCAGACACCCAATCAATTTTCTTTCAAAAGCTAAACCAGACTGGAGTTGGATCATTTTGAGAGGCTTTGGATGGACAGGGAGCTTTTTCTGATCTCTGAAATTAAATACACATTTCTGTCTTACCAAATTTTCCTGAAATGAGCCTGGAACCATTTGGAAGCACAGCAACAMATCTCTCTGAAAGCAGAAAGTCACAACAGTGTTTACACAAAGCTCTGCTTTCTGTGTTGYTGGTTTCCAAAATGTTTCATAATGCTTCCTTGGGAGGAAACAAAGCTGAATAGTTGGTGTCAGGCAGAAAAACAGGATAAGCTTTATGACTTCTGGGTTTTATTTGCTTGATCATGTGTTGAAAACAAGGTTTTGCCCACCTTCAGAGAGCCTTGATGTAAAACTAAGGAAATGAAAATCAATGTATTGCCTTCATTTGTGACCAACACTGATAATCCTAGATGGAATTGCTTCTAATGATGTAATCAAAATCAAGAAGGGATTCAATGCGATTAAAAAACACAAGGTGTTTTTCCTTGAGTGAATTTAACCCCTTTAAAAGGAATGTCTTAACTAGAGTTTACAAGTGCACTGAGCAAGGAAGAGATGAGAAGTGTAAGTGAGGGATATAAATACCTCTTTCTTTCCAAAATGTGGGAGTTTGCAGATTTTTTGGGTTTGGGGATTTTCTGGGGGGAAGGAAGGTGTAGCTTTGTGGGGTTTATGTCTATCATGGGAACTGGACAGTAGCAGTGTGTGTCTGGACTGCCTCGTGCATGAGTGAAGCGATGCTTTTTTTAGGAGAGCAACAGAATAAAGGCATTGAAATGGGGTTGTTTAGATCTTGTAAACTAAACCCAAGGACCGTGAAAAGCATTTACCATACTCTGAAATAGAGTATAACTATAGATACCTCTCACACAACCAGCCAGTCTGTGAAAAACTGACAGGAATGAGCCACAGTGCTGCTCCTCATCCATYCCCATCATTCCAGGTTTGTAAAGGAGGTTGTCTCCTTAGTGCTGTGTTTAAAGTGCTCAGCCCCAGGCAGGAGGATGCTTTGTGTGGATCTCTTCAGCCTGGTATTGAGTAATAGCACCAAATTKGGGGATGTCTGCTGTGTTTCAAGCCAGAAACCTTGTGGGCTAAGTGCTTTTTCTTGTAGCTGGGTGTGGGACTGTATGGTGGGGTTATCTGGGTGACCCCATGATTTTGGGGGGCAGTTCTGTGTGTGTGATGGGCTGGGTGCTCAGARACCCCCGTGCTGTGTGCTGGCAGGGACAGCTTCCATAAAGCAGCAGAAACTCAACAAATAGCTGCTGGTAGCTTAATTTTTAAAAGGCAGAGCATTAATGGGTGTTTGACAYAAGTGGGAAATGTCACCTGTTCTCTAAGCATATCCTGGCTGGGAATTTGGGCTCTCTGGGGTGTTCTGCTTGCAGGTTTGCTCAAAGAGAGCAATTATTTGTGTGTCTTGTAAAGCTGCTCTCAGTCTGAGGCCGTGGACAAAGGGGTGATGSTAACCCTCTGTTTGCCTGTTATTCCTGTGGATTTTACAGGTTCCCTCAGGCAATATATGGTAATTTCCTTGCTGCTAGAACAGGTTCAGCAGCATGCAAATGAATATGTCCTTACACTAATTAATCCATCCACCAGAAGTTTTAGAACTGCACTGATCATTCTGCATCCTACAAATCCATGGCAGTGTGGATTCAGAGATCCCACACCTGGCTTGGGATGCTGTTCCTYGGCACTGTGGCACACACTGTGACAGCTCCTGGCACTGCCAGGATGGTGGAGGATTTGTAGGGGATCACCTCTTGTCCTACAGAACGTAATACAGAGGCTAAACCTGTTGGGTCAGGTGTGTTTTGTATTTCTCAATAATCACTGTTACACTAAAATGTGGCCTGTGCTTTTGGGATCCTCTACCCTGATGTTGAATATTCTAAAAACAAAAGCTTAAGAAACCACTGAAACATACTAAAAAACACTTCATACCAATTTTGTGTTAACTGTTTTGAAATCAAATTGCATCTGTAAGCTGACTTCTTTAAGGCAGTCACTTGACCACCCATCCTGAGCAGCCACAACAAAGCCTTGCACAGGGTGGGTGGGGGAAAAATGTTTTTGTCTGCTTTCTTCATCCTGCATTTTCATAGTCTAATTCTTTACTTAGGCCAGGAGGCCTTTGGAGTCTGAAATTTCACTGAAATCTGCAGCAAGGTGGCCCCGGGGAGCGTTACCAGCACTGATCTGTCAGCTGAGGGCAGGTGCATGACAGCCCTAAAAATGTCAGTCCCCTCCTGGCATCAGGCAGCTCC